AAATGGTGCAATTTGGTAAAAGGCGAAAGATTTATATGATCTAAAGAGAAACCAGAGTATTGCGCTATTTGGGTTGTTAGAAAGATCACCCTTCTGAGAGGCCTGAATGCAGCCAGTGCTCGCCCTGGTGAAGTGGCGGATCCCTGGACTCCTTCATGCCCACTTCAGCAGCACCAGCTTCCCTCCCCACTGGGGTAGAGAGCTGATTAGCAGCAGAGCGAGGAGAGGGAAGTGGTGCCCTGGTGGAGCGTGCAGGGGGCTGCAGCTGCTGGGAAGAAAGTTGTGCTAGGTGGTGCTGGGCAGCGATAGGGGGGACAACACGTGCTGCAAGTGGTCACTGCTGGGCCTCATCTCTGCACCACTGGCTGTACCATGGCCTCAGGACCAGCCCTCCTTTGCTTGTGGGTCCCTAGTCCAGGAATAACCCTGCTGGAGCCTCCACATTAGGGCCTAATGAGGGGACAGGTGCAGGTCCAGTCCGGTTGCGAGGGGCTACGAGCCTGGAGGCCGCACAGACTGCAGGGAGCAGCTGAGGACCGCCTCGCGTGTTTCATCAGCACAGATGCCTTTACACAGTGGGTTCCCTTAGGTACCTCATGCACACTGGAGCTCACATGCCAGACGAGGAGCAGGAGGCAGGAGGAGCAGGTGCCTGAGTGTGAGAGTGGAACCAGCACTTCGCCCAAGCACTGACTGCTCAGCCATTAGCTAAAAGAACAGACTCCTTGGCTCACATTTCTTTCATAATACATTTTACATCTTGTTTTTTAACTATAAAAATCTAAAGATAAAGCCAGGCATGGTGGTGCAAGACTGTAATCCTAGTACTAGGGAGCCTGAGGCAGGAGGAATCTATAGATTATGAGTTCAAGGCCAGCCTGAGCTGCATAGCAAGACTGTGTCAAAAAACCCAAACCAAACCAAAACAAAAACTCCTAAAGCCAAAAATCTAGAAAGGAATGATTTAACAATACTTTTCAAAAAATTAAATGCATTTATTATAGTAGATATAGGATTGGCCTTATAACAAAGGCCTTATAAAGACCAACTGACAGTGCTACAAACAAGGTAATATTTTCTTCTCGATAAGCTAAGATCTAAAGGAAGCCACCCAGAGGCGGGAAGGAGGTGCCACCAAGGCACTGCAGGGCAGACTAATTCCAGCTCTTGGCTTTGCCACTCCTGGGTGGTGGCTATTGTGCTGATGGCACAAGATAGCTTCCCGAGCGCCAATCATCAGATCCATAATCCTGGGGGCAAAACTGAATGAGAAGAGAAAAGAGGCGAGAAGAGGAGAGGAGGAGAGAGGAGACTGGCTGTCCCTTCTAGGAGAGTCCCTTGAAGTCCCGTAAAGCATTACGATACCAAGCTGGAGCATTTTCTTACCTCCTCACTCCAACCCAGCACAAGGGTCCCCACAGAACACCCCCTTCTCCCCCCATGAAGCCTCCCCTTCCCGTGTTGCCCTGCTCCTGCTCCTGTGTGCTGCAGCTGTCCCAGGACTTCTGGGTCTCTCCTGAAGAGATATTTTGCTAAGCACTAAGAACAGCTCTGCTCGAGTTCTAAGTCAGCCCTAGTGAAGACCCGAATTTGTTGGTGGCAGCAGATCCCAGTTATGAGACACTACGCTGCCATCCAGTAGCAGCACCCTTCAGAGTTGTGAGGGCTTTGGGAGACCTCACAGACAAGATGAGATTTTGGGGGCATCAGAAGACACCCAGGTCCCAGTGCTTTAACTGATGCAAGGATTGTGTGTGTGTGTGTTTTTGTTTTTTTGTGCTCCTGCTGAAAGCTCCATGGAAATTTCAGGAAGCATCTAGTCATGCAGTCACTTGTGCATCAAGCTTGCAGAAGGGCTACATGAAGACCTTCCTCCATGACCATGGAGAAGGAACGGAGCTGTGACCCTGGCACCAGCTCCTCAGCTCGCACCCAGTCTGCCATGTCTCAGTGTCCCATGTTCTGAGGTTTCAGGCACACACCGGTAGTGAGTTTTTAAAAGCAAAATCCAGCTGGGCATGGTGGTACATGCCTCTCATCCCAGCACACTACAGGCAGAGGCAGGAGGATCACTATGAGTTCCAGGCCAGCCTGGGCTGCATAGTAAGCTCCAGGCCAGCCTAAACCATGTAGCAAGACTCTATTTCCAAAAACAACAAGGACAACAATAACAACAAAATAAAAAGCAAAATTCAGTCTGTGTAAAGAGGATATCCTTTATTATAGGATCAGATCTTCACTATCATTCTTAGAGATTAAAATTTTTCTTTATGAAATGGTGGTGATGGTAGTTGGTAGAATTAAAGGGGAAAAACCTTACTAGGCAAAATAAAATATGAGTGACATTATCGTTCTGACCTTTTTACTTGTTATTAAAATTTTTCCCAATTGGTTATGAAACCTGACTGCCAACCACACTAATTGTGGGCAAGCCTCCGACTGGGGAGATTCTTAGTGGGCCTGGGGGTCCTACAATTCAGGTGTAAGGTAAGGAGAAAATAGGCTGAAAAACAAAAACAAAAACAAAAACCAACATCCAAAGAGTGTTGGATCTTGGTCAAGAATAAAGTTTAAATGCCTTTCCTCATTGGTTTTGTTGCTGATTATATAAATCCATTTTGAATGCACAGCCAATCACAAGCAAGGAGTGTGTGCACACAGGGTTATGGGAGTCCTGTGTGGGATTATGGAAATCCTGCATAGGGTTACGGTAGCCCAGTGGACCCAAATCCTGGGAATTTCTGGGACTGTGGCCTGTGGCAGCCCTCATGCATTATCTCACTAAGATGGCTTTAGGACAATATGCACTGCAAAAGGAAGGTTACTTATGTTATATATTTAGCCTAAAGCTATGATAACATCCTTTGGCATGGCTGTTATCTGATGGTATTTGAAACTGAACCCACTTCCTATTTCCAGGCATTAACAAATGAGAGTCTTCACGTTGTCTAGTGTTATTTCCTGACTTTAAGACAGATTTCTTTTCTCCAATTCACTCGTTTATTTTTTTAAAAAAGATCTCCTTTAGACAATTATATTTCCCAGAATTGTTTAAGCCTTGTTATTGTTCTCCATGAGAATGTTTCCTATTTAGCTCTAGCCATGGAACTAGACGGGAATTCTCTTGAATATCTGTCTGTGCCATACTCAGAAGATGTATGGGACACTTGAGAGGTAAATCACTGGATGTGGGGAATCAGGACCCCAGCTTAGCACTATTATCCCAACATGCCTGTGGCCAGAGGACGCATGGGGCAATGAAGCTTGACATTTGCCCCAAAGAGTTGGACCAGGAGAGACAGTGCACAACTAGGTGTAAATATGACAGTCACAGTCCCTCTGCCCCACAACAACTTCAGGGAGTAAGACTGAAGGGAGGAGACAGGAAATACCATGCCATGGATAACAATTACCTGCACGTCTTACAATGGAAAGAGCACTAGCTCCCAGTATCAGAAATGTCACTTTTGGGCAAGTGTGGTGGCACATGCCTGTAATTCCCAGCACTCTGGGAGACTGAGGCAGGAAGATCACAAGTTTGAGTTCAGCTTGGGCAATTTAATGACTTAGTGAGACCCTATCTTAGAATAAAAAATAAAAATGTGAACATAGTGCAGTGAAGGCCCCGAGTTCAACTACCAGGTCAGGGGGAAAATGAAAAGAAACCCCACTGTTGTGTAGTGAGAGCGAGCCTGCTGTCACAGCTGGGGATTCGCCTCCGCAGCAGAGCCCAGCACTCTAAGAGCTGGTGAAAGCTCTGGTTCAGTGCCTTACTTGCTTCATCTGAAGATGACAAAAGGTTGTTTTAAGGGTGTAATTAATTTAATGAGCTTCATTTGTGTAGAACCATGTCCTGCATATAGAGCATACTCAGTAAATATGAGTTATTACAAGTAAACATTTTTTTTTTTTTTTTTTTGAGACAGGGTCTCACTTTATAGTGCAGGGAGGCCTTGAACTCACTATGTAGCCCAGGCTGGCTTTGAACTCCCGGCAATCCTCCGGCCTCAGCCTCTCTAGTACTGGGATGACAAGCTTGCGCCATCACACCTGGCTCACAAGTAAACTTCAAGGATTCGCTGATTTGGCAAAAGACTTTCACATTTCATGTTCTGAGGGCTCCTGGCTTCTCGCTATAGATCCACACTCTGATACGGGCAGCCTAGGTGCTCAGGGCTTCTCCAGGGCAGAGTGGCTGCTGACTGGCTACAGGCGCAAAGAGCCTAGGCTGCAACGCAGGTGGGCATCTGTGATGTCGCCCCTCTCAGTGTCATGAAAACCACTCTGCCTTTAAGAGACAGCTTAGACTTACTCGAAGGCTTCGTCCTGTGGCACCAAGAGGTGCCCCATTTTGGGTTTCTCATATAGGAGAAACCCTGCGATATTTAACCGCGTATGTCTGCTTTATTTTACTTGGCACTATGGTCTTTCTCCTTCTTGTTCTAAGGCCCCTCACTCCTGCGGTCTCCCGGACTTCTCTACAATGCGGCCTCCTAGCCCCAGCATCTGTGGACGCTTTTGGGCCAAACCCCTGGCACTTGGCCTCCACCTTGCAGCTTGCCTTCCTGCCCAGAGCTGAGGCCTCGACGCAGGGAGCCCCTGGCCATTTTCCACCCGCATCTCGGCTGGAGCTCCTTTGAGGGAGGCAGAGGGAGAGTTGCAGGAGCTCGGCCTGGACCACAGCTGGTGCTCTGGCCGGCCCAGGGCTGGGAAGAAGGGCCGACACACTTCACTTCCGAACCACTGCCCATCTCACTAGGCCGCCCAGTCACCTTCCGGCCTCACTTTGCAGCCCCAGACCCAGCATGGCGCGTCGCTGTGCCCCTCCGCCTGCTCCGGGATCCCGCGGTCACTTCCTGAAGCGCGTCTGGGAGGCGCCTCGCACCCACTCGGACCCCGGCCTGTGCTTCCCGGGCGCCGCCCCCGCCGCACTTCCCTTCTCGGTTTTGCCCGGAAAACGGCCGGAGCCCAGGGCGAACTTTCTGAGGTCGCAGGGTCCGGCTCTCCAGCCCGAGCGCGCGTGTGCAAGGGCCCCGCCGGGTAGGAGACGCCGGCCTCGGCGGGAGGAAGGAGCCGCGGCGCCAGCCCCCTCTCCGCTGCCCGCGGCCGCAGCAGCATGCCGGGCGGGGGCTCCCGGGGCGTCCCGGCCAGCGGCGGCGGCCACTGCGCAGGTAGGCGGGGTCGGGCGCCCCTGGAGAGGCGAGCGAGGCCGAGGCAGGACGCGGCGCGGGGCGGAGTGGGGCTCTGGCCGGGAGGAGCGGCCGGCGGCGACCCGGCACCCGCAGCTGGCGAGCCCTTGGCCGGGCCTCGTGGGTCACCGCGCCCCAGCCGCGCTGCGGACCCGCGGGACTACCGGGGAAGACGGGGCGAGCCTCCCCACGGTGCGGCGTCCGCCTCGCCGCCCACTTCCTTCTTGGGTCGGTGCCGCGAGGCCAAGCGTGCCACCGCCAGCCGCTTTCACCAATGACAGAACTCCGTGCGCTCACGCTTAGAACGAGCGCAAAAGAATAGCTAAGCTTTCCTTAGCGAGTGAGACGTGGAGTTACGAAAGCTGCGCAGGGCCCTGGCTGGGCCGGGAGGGGGCCAGGCATCCCAGTTGCCTCTCTAAACGCGGGAGCCTCAGTTTCTTCAAATGTGAGCGCTCTGAGATTATCTGGCTTCCCGGACTCCCTTTAGCTTTGCTCTGCGCTAAAGCACTCTGCAAATGTGCCTTCTCTGGATAACGCTGGGACACAGGAGTCAGAGGAGACAGCCTTACGCACCCCACCCCTAGACTCAGCCGCGCCTCAGTTTCCCCATTTGTAAAAGGGCCGCTTTCACCAATGACAGAACTGTGTAAAAGGCACAGATTATGGTATTTATAGGACAGTGTTGTTATAAGGTTACATAATGGTAGATTTGAACTCCCTGAGATAGCAAAGTCTCACAAACTTTCGTTGCTATTTTTGTGAAGCAAAACCTAAATAATTTGGAATAATCTGAGAGTACCAGTTTGATTAAAGCACACATATCAAGGCATTTACAAAGACATTGAGTTTCACTGTGTCCGGGCACATGGGGTTTCAACGAAGACTTGCGGGGAGCCTTACACAGTAAACTTGCTTTCTGCGCTGTGGCCTTGAGTCTTGTCTTCTCATCCTCATCCAATTACAAAAAGATGAAAGAGAATAAGGGTAGCGAGGACTGCTTTGCGCGGATAGCACTGCCTGAGGCTCAGGTGTGTAAAGCACCGGACACCTGGTGGAGCCCGAGTCCATGCACAAGTGGAGCCCATCCAGTTATTAGGAAGGAATAACAACGCCTTCATTGTACCATGTGCCAGGCCATCTTTTGTCAGTTCTTCTGGGGGAATCCTCCGCCAGCTTTCGTGGGGCTGCTGCTGCAATCCTACCTCGGACGCTGGCTTTTGGAGTCGCTGCCTTTTTCCCCAGTGCATACAGCTGTAAAGTGTCTATGGGAATTAGAATGTGGGTGTGGGTGCCTCTCACAACCGTCCCTAAGCAGCGGTTGGCTGGAATTTAGTGAGAGAGGAGCCCCGTGCAGGGCAGATCTACGTTGGCTTGTAGGTAGCACATCGGACATGTACATGGTACTGAAACTGTAAGAGTGGATTGTTAGCCCTGCAGGAGAGACTACAATAGTCATTTTTTTTGGCCCATGTTTATGAGTCCCATTTCTAAACTGTCTTGACAAAACGAGTGATGAAAATGTGAACAGAGAAACAGCGTTAAACTGGAAATGATGGATGGTGAGATTTTGTTGCAAATCTCTGGTAAAGTAGAATCCGGATCAATGTTCTATTCTAGCACTTCTATTTGCTGGGACTCTTAGGATGGCAGACGAGGTGGGGCTGAAGTGGTGACTTTGGTGTCATGCTCACTTTGCAGGCATGAGCCCCAGTACTGCCGCTGGGAGCTCCGGTTCACCTGGCATGGGGGTGGGGAAGGGTTGGGAGATGGAGTGCAGGCTGAGTCTGTGTTGCAGAAACAACCCTCGTTCTTATGCTTCCCACGGGAAGTTTCTCTTACGCAGTTTTGTTTTTCCAAGAGCAGTGCATGCCCATTACAACAGGCACAGAACATTACAAACGAATAGAGACCAGCTGTAATCTCCCAAGTGTAGTCAAATAGCTCCGTGTCTCCATTCTTGTTATCCATTTTCCTGTACTCTTCAATTTATACCGATTTCTAAGATGGGATGCAGGTTATGGTTTTTGTCAAATGATGAAGCAACGTATGCTGATAGCTCAAACATGAAGACATTAATTTAGGAAAAGAAATCATTTATTGTTTATTTTTTTAATCTTTTTTATTGTGCTTATTAAAACTTTTTTTTTTTCTTCCTGGAACTGGGGATTGAACTCAGGCCCCTGAGCTTGCCAGACAAGTGCTTATTCCACTGAGCCATCTCCCCAGCCCTTAAAACTTTATTTTACAAAGACCTTAGTCAGGCATGCTATCACACAGCTGTAATCCCAGCATTCAGGAGGCTGAAGCAAGAGGGTGCTTTGAGTTTGAGGCTGGCCTGAGCTACATAAGTGAGTTCAAGGCCAGCTTGCACTGCATAGTGACATCCTGTGTCAAGAAAGAAAGACTGATTTTTAAAAACATCTTAAAATTTGGGGGCTAGGGCTAAAACTTAGTGCTAGAGTGCTTATCTAGCACTTGGGAGACCCTAGGTTCTATCTCCTACACTAAAAACAAGCCAAAAAAGAAAATCTTTTCTCTTTTTTTCTTCTTCTTTTTTCTTTCTTTCTTTCTTTTTTTTTTTTTTGTATTTTTAGGGAAGTGTCCACAGAGTGTTCAGGGTCTCACTAGTAGATTGGACTCGTAGTGATCCGGCTGTTTATAACCTCCCAAGAGCTAGGATCATAGATGAGTGCCACCATGCTCAGCCTCAATTGTCATCTCAGCGTGCCCCTGGGGTGGGGTGGCATGGCAGGCCCTGGGATCAAACCCTGGCCCCTGCACCTGCTTGCAGGCGCTTTAATCTGCTGAGCTATTTGGCCGGCCCAAAAAAGAAAAATCTTAAGTTTATGATTGGAGGCCTATTAGAGATTCAGTGAAGCTTAAAGGTTTAATGAAAACTGTAATTGTGGTTTTCATTAAATTTACTGCTAGACCTACAGAGCAAAAAGAGGGTACAGTGGTGATACTAGCCAGAACAGTTTCTGAGCCTAATACTAGATAACATTTTAGATTAGAGTTAGATCATTTAGACTAGAATTGGAACCAGGCTTTCATAAATAATGATGACAGTAATCAGTTATATGCTTTGTTGTTACGCAATCCAGGCAAAGCCTGCTGCTCCCAGAGGTGCTGTGGACAGCAAGCCTGCGCTGGGGCTGGTGCTTTCCTGCCGCTGTCATGAGGGCTACCTGTGGGCAGCTATTTTTTCCTCAGCACCATTCACAAAAACAAGACTTTTAGTCTCAAGGAGTCTTTGTTCTTGACTTTAATGACTGTGATTAAAAATTCCTTGGCCAATAATTCCTGTGCAATGATGCAATTTTAAAATTTTAAAGTTTTAGTGTTTTGACTTTTTATTAGTGCATAATTGACATATATTTAATTGTAGGGAATTTGGACCTGTACATAATATATCTCAGTTCTGTTTTCTCCATTCCTTTCCCCTCCCTTCAACGCTTCATCCCCACCCCCATTTACACAAACTTAGCTTCTATGTATTTCTTTTCATTCTCTTTTTCTTCCTTTTTCCTGCCTTCCTCTTTCCCTCCTTCCTGGCTTGTTCCCCTTTCCATTTGAACATGTTCTTCCTACTTCCCAATGTCTGTCCTCCGTTTTGCTTGTTTACCCTCTGGGTTTCTTGCACAAGAGAACACCATATTTAAACTTGTGTGTCTGATTTATTTCACTTAAGGGCATGTTCTCGAGGTGCATCCATTTGGCTACAAATGATTCAAGTTCATCTTCCTTTAAGGCAGAGTAGTAGTACTCCATTATACAGTGTTTCTTTAATCCAAAATATTTTCTTTGCTCTCAAAGTCAGTCTGCCAGCTGCTCCTCTGAGCAGAAGCTTTGCAATTCTCCACTTGGGAGAACAGTATCTGGCCAGTGTCTGGCCTCGGAGGTGATAGGGGCACAAGGAGTGTGTCTGTAGCTCATGCGACCATCCATCCCATGTCTCTCCTGTGTCTTGCTTGATTTCCCTGCCCTTGTCCCCTCTGGATGGTAAGCGCATTTGGGTTTCTTGTGATCACTAGGACCCTCTGTCCCTAACTGTAAGAAACAGGACCACAGATGGATGAAAATGCAGAAGATAAACTGGTTGACCCATTGATGCCTGTGTTTAACAGCTGTTGAGAACTGTGTATTTGGCAGCCTTGTTGTAAATGAAGCCACAGCCCTACACTTTCTTCCTTGTGTCCGCTTCAGGGGCACGTGGCCTTTTGCTCATCCTGGAAAAAAAAGGTGGATAAGCTTGTACCTGTCCTTTGTAGCATTTGCCTGTCATGGTGGCATTTTACCCTTTCTTGGCACATGGGTTTTAACTCTCAAGGAGATGCAAGTGAGACCGTAAGGTCCTTGAGGGAGCACCTGCCACCTTTGAGGGCCATGCAGGTGTCTTGGAGTGTCGAGAGCTGTGGTGGAGCATGGAGGTGTGCCACTAAGCCGTGTGGTTCATCCTGCATGTGGCTTGTTCAATGAGTTGACCTCCTCCTTTTATTTATTTAGCCATCTGACTCAGTGGGAAAGCGATGTTAGCATGCCAAGAGGCCTTAGGGGGGATCCCTAGCCCTGATGAATGGAATAATTGAAAACTTAGACTCTTGGTTACTTTCTTTCACTGTCAGCTGGTCCTTAAGAAACCATTTTCCTTTATTTAACATTTATTGAGTGTCTTGTTGGTCTAGCAGTAGTTATCATTAGAGCCACATATTAGTAAGGTATCATTTTTGAAATTTCATTTAGAGAGAAATCTTGCTAAAAATAGCGATTGTCCTTTGATGGAACATGCCGCTTTGAAAGATAGTGAGGTTTTTATTATTGGGAGCATGCAAGCCAATGTTGGATGACGCTAGGGTGGGTGCCATGGAGGGTCTGGTCTGCATTGTGGAGGGACGCTGTAGGAGGTGCTGTGACACACGGGAGCATTTCCAGATCGAGGATTCTGTGATTCTTGTACTGGAGGCCTGGGTTTTAGCTGCTCT